TAGATAGAATAAATGCTCAAGACGTTCATGCATACTGCAATTGTTAATCGCTGACAAATTATCGCTAATTGATAACCGAAACTTTAGTGTAAGATACGGAAGTCCACCATCATAGGAACAAGAATTCGTGAAAACAATCATTTACTGAGATAAAGCGCTAATCATTTATCACAATAGAATGTTAGAAACAAGCGATTACCTAGAATAAATTATCAAGAAATTTAGATGGGTAGTAGAAAAAAACAAAAGTTGAAAAAGAGACTAGAATTCATCGATAATCGTTTACAAGTAAACGTAATCAATTACCAGTTATAGTCTATTAGTTACAAGAGAACGTTAGAAACAAGCAAATACTAGGATAACTTATTAATAGAATTTAAGGTGGACTTTAGAAGAAAAAAATCTGTAAAGAAAGAGTAACAACATAAGACTAGCAATTGTCAATGATTGAAAAACAAGCGCTAATCTGGTTGGTTAATAACTTGCAGAGATAAATAGCTAATCGTTTACCGTGGGCTGACAAGCAACAGAAGATAGGATTCAAAAATTTCAAGTTGTTAAATATACTTGTAAAGTCAATAAACGGTAATCGGTTACTTCAATAGAAGCTTAAAATATGAGACAAGGCACATCCGTCGTTAGAACCTAGAAGACATTAAAGATTAAAAATAATAGATTTGGTGGAGATACAAGATCAGTAAAGCCGAAATCGAAAGAAAGTTGGGCGTTTCCAGAATGGTTGGTCGAATTAAGATAAAGGGTGTTGTGATATCAAAAAATATGTAAATGATATAGAAGGTGTGTATTTTGTGTTCATGTATGGATATATAATTTACATATAATATTTATTTTGGTTAAAGTTTTGTTTTATATATTCGAAAATGTTTGTTATGTAAATGAAATGAAAACTAGTAATAATTGTAGATATTTCGTAATTTAAGGGTTTAACAATAGAGTTTATTCACTTTTATTTTAATGCTAATAAATTTTTTAATTTTTAATCTTTTTATTTTTTTAGTTTAATTTTTATTTTTAACTTTAATTTTATAATGTTTTTACTGTATAATTTATTCTTATATAATTAATATTTATGCATAAAGGAAACAGTGGCGTAGACAGGATTTATCCATGGGAGGGGGGGGGGTTAAAAATTTATTTGGAAGCGAAGCCCCCACCATATTTTTAAATTTTGGCAATATTATGTGCTTTATTAGTGTCTAACCAATATAGTAGCCAGCATAAATGCAAAAAATATTAATAACAAAATTTTGGCCAAATTTATTATTAATAAGTGACTGGAAGCATTATTCTAAAAATTTTATCAATGTTTAGTCAATTGTAAATTAATTCATCCAGTGTATAAAGAAAAAAAAATTGCCCCCAAACCTTCCATATTTTATGATACTCAATATATCTTATTGAGTGTTAAAAATAATTATTTTAATTAAATTTTAGAGAATTTCATTATATATTTTATTTATTATTAAAATACTTTAGTATAAATAACATCCCTTAATTTAACTATGCATTTATTTTAATGATAATATACAATAAAATAAATTTCAAAATATAGAAATTTTATACAGATTATTATATTAAAAATTTATTGTAAATAACTATATTTAAATAAAATATAATTCAATAAAATATAAGTAATTCTTATACTGTATTTAAAAAAATATAATTTAATAATTATAGATAATACAAATGAATCAAAATATAAATAATTCTTATTGTAAAAGAATGCAATACTTTTATTAAAAATTGGGAATCTAAAATGCAATTACACATGGAAAGGGTTTGCAAAGCATTTTTTATCTCAAAGAGTATTCTATTCTATCAAAATTTTTATACGATATCACAAAATAATTTATCATACGATCCTGATAAATCATCAGAATAATACTCTGAGATTTTCTTAATATCTTCTCGCGTTTCAAGTGTAAACCGGCAGAAGAAAATAGAAGCTTTTTAAAATAAAATTGTGACTAATAAATCTTTCCTTTAATTGAAATAAAAATTTATCAATAAGGGAAATATAAATATTTATTTTATAAAAATCCTCAATCGTAGATGCATAAATATTTAAGCGATTGGACTGTTAGAAACTACTCTTGGTTTAAAAATTTCAATCCCAAACATATTAGCGATTTCCTTTACTTTCTCGTATATATCATGAAATTTTCATCCACATTATCTATGATATTTGTTAATATTTCAACAATATCCTTTCATATTCATAACCTCCCTTAAATCTAAATCAATTTTTTGTAACATTTTTCCAAAATCATATGTATAATTAAATAAAAAATATACACATTGAATTGATATTAAAAATTGTGGCTTCGTAATAGCTAGCAAAAGATTTTCAGCATCTACGTAATCTTTTTCTTTGCTTGATATGGGATTCGAGCGCTGCAAAAATAATTTCATATAATTTGATGAAATGTTTTACTGATTGTTGTCTTTCAATAAATCTAGCTGGACAAAATCTATATAGTTTTTTTTGATTATTTGAATCAATATCATCAAACGTTAAGATAAAAAGCTGCCTCTTCTTGGGCGGTGTGAAAAAGTTACAAACCGACGATATTGTTTCTAAATTTTGATAAATATATTAGAATTATAAAAAGATATCTATAATACATAATAAAATCTAATAAATTTCAATTAAATTAAAATATTTTTACCTAAACTGTTCTGGATGTTTCGAATTTCGCATGCCTCATATATCAACAAATTTAGACAATGTGAACTACAGTGAACATATAGAGCTGAGCTATAAAGCTATCTAATTCTTGACTGCACCACTTGAAGTGACCACTCATCGAGTAAGCTCCATCATATGCTTGGTCTCTCATTAGATTTAAATTTAAATCTTGGTCTTGAATGGATGCTAAAATTTCTTTTGCTATCGTCTTTGATTTAGTGTTATGTAAGTAAATAAATTGAACAAAGAGTTCCTTCATTTTGAAATCACCTGATTTCAAATCCTTACTGCTATAGATAATTCCTCCATGTTACCAACATCTGAAGTCTTATCCGCCAAAACACTAAAATATGGTGACGCTTTCACTTTTGTAGAAATTTGTTTCAATATGAACCTATTGCATATGGCTATTATTTTATTTTGAATACTTGGACTAAGGTAGGTTATTTAGCAGAGCTTTCAAAAAGCTTCATATAGTTATCATTGTTTCAACAATTCCTTGAGATTCCCTTCATTATGAGAAGAGTATGTAAGTGTTAAGGGACCAGCAGATATTCTATGAGCTTTTAATGATAAGCGCTTCCCTAACCAAATGATTTCATCAATTATTATAATTATTCATGCTCTGTTGGTTGTAACAATATTATTTTTTATTTATTCAAATACAATAGATATTGTTATCCTTTGACATAGATGGCTTTTAAAGCATCCAATATCTCACAAGAAATGAGATGGTAAATATTTTAGTTCATATAATTATATATTTTTAAATCATGTGATCATTTAAAATTAAAAATTCTTATTTGTTTATTTAAAATATATTTCATTTTGATATCATATATATTATTTTTCTCAAACTGAAACCGTTTTTTAAATGATTCACAATACAAAAAAAAATTTAAAAAAAAAAATTTAATAAAAATTTTTTTTCCCCAGAGGTTATGAGGGGAGGGGGAGGAGATTTCAACCACCGCCCCCACCGCTGTATACGCTACTTAAAGGAAACCATAAATTATGTTATTATGTTAAATTTAATATTATATTATCATTTTTATTTAAATGACAATGATACCTAAAACTTTACAATTCAACAGTTATCAACCCTCTTTTAGTATATAAATAGATGAAAATTATTTAATCATGATCATTAATTAATTTTTTTGTTTTTTTGATAATTCACGACGAGAAAATTTTTATTTTATATAATTGGAATTAATTTTTATATAAACTACGACAAAATTATCCCTAATTCAATAAATTCTTAATTTTTATATATAAACTCCAAAGTTTTCTTTTAATTACTTCATTCAAAATGACCATGACGACCCGTTGTTATGCAATTTTAAATTGGGCTTAAGCCGTTCCTTTTATTTCATTTTTTTATTTATTAAATTAATTTAGGACTTAAACCCGTTCATATCCAGCGGCGCCGCGAATGCCGTTTCTACCATTTTATTTCTTAGTTTAACCAATTTAAATCTGCCCTAATTCAGTGGTGAAGCAAATGCCGTTCCTTATTTATTAAATTAATTTAGGACTTAAATCCGCCCTAATCCAGCGGTGCGACGGGTGCCGTTACGGTATGCAACGATCCACTAAGGGGCTGCGGTCGCCTTACAAAGAGGTACCTATGGTACTTACACTTTTTTTTGTAGTCTTTAGTACGATGACTAAATTGCTCGCAAAATCTGGTCACCCTGTCACCCTCTCTGAAAATTCCGGACCATCAAACTCAGTCGACCCCCCCTCTCTCCTACGATAGACCTCTGCCTAGGGTCATTGTCCCAAATATTTTATTTTGCATACTAGAATATATTTTCGGTCATATCAGATTTTATATATTAAGATCGCCTTCAGTTCAGGAAATATCCCATGGATTCCATATCCAAATTTGATATATATATATATTTATCTATATCAGAGATTTGCAAGCACGCTAAGCCTTAAGTCCGGTGTGGGTACACGATACGAGCCATATTTTAATAGACATATTATATTTTGAAAAAATCCGGGTCTGACCGGGTATAAACCCCGGACAAAGCAGGGCTGAAAATTATTTTTAAAAAAAAATCCGGGTCAGGCCATACAAATAGTACCTCTGCATATCTCTGATATAAATAAAAATTTTTAGATCAGAAATTATTGTTCGCATCTAATAACAAATAAAATATAAATTAGAAACAATTTTTTATTTAATTAGTTGATTATTTGTTGAGCACTTGTGTTTAGAATAATCATCATATTGATTTTATTTTCACTTTAATATGTTTGGTTAAATTCAAAAAATACCATGCAAGGTGAGTGAAATAAATATACATATACAATATTTATTCAATATATAGGCTCGATAGGAAATTTTGTAGATGCATTTATACTAAGCTTGATATTATACACTCAATCAACATTCACATTATATGAAGATCAAATTGGGAAATTTGATTGGTTGCATTTATTTTATATTTTAATTTATTTGTAATATTCCAATGTGTAGGCATCAAAATTATATAGGATTTGTAACACATGTTTTTGTAGGAAAAGTTTTAGATAGTAGTAAACACATAATACTTGCCACTGAACAAAATATATTAGCATCTTTAAAACTTGAAACAGGCGAAATTGGTATTAGTAATTTAAATATTTATTGTTTAAATCTTTAATAAAGTTTGGAGACATATATTAGAAAGTGGAAGAGAAGGTCATATTGAGGTTGGATTTATAATAGAGAACAGTTTAATTAAATATATGATCATAAATATATATAATATCTAGAATTAATAACACTGCTGAATAATTATACAATGATTAGAGTATGGAATGTACTTACAAGTTTTATGATTGAAGAAATAATGATTCAGAATACAGCTAATAATATGTATTAGTAAATTTTATTATTGATATTATATTTTCAATTTAGCCAACAACTTCTTTATGATGAAAATTCTGGTAAAAAAATTGTTAACTTTAATTATTAGTATGTTATTTAAGGCTATATTTTATCCAAAAAAATGGAATCCATTATGTTACATAGTATACCTAGATGGAAGCTTATTTGGGAGACAACTTATAAGTTACTATCAACATTAATCTTGTTAATTGTTTTAATTTTAGTAAAAAATTTTATGATCCACATTTATATATTAACAGAATAACAAATATGTTAAACATAATTGATATATCTTTAGAAAAACAACTGTTATCATTTGTATCATTTAATCTTAAAAATGGAACAATTATATCAGAACTAATATCAATTGATGAAAATTTCTCCAAGTAATTTTAAATATTTACCTCAGTTAAATATATATTTCAATATTTTTCCAATAGTATATAATTTGGTTAATTATATTTAAAAAACTTAAATTCTTATTTTGATTTTATAACCAATTAACACTGATACTATTAACAATAGATACACAATTATTAAAGATGGGATGTTTTTTATTTGTTTGCTTGATAACAAAAAAATATATGTTTTCCATTCACAAATAAACAATTTGAAATACTTTTCTTACACGTTAGAACAAGTAAGTATTAATTATTTACACCAAATTTATAATTAATATTATTGAACCATAGAATATCATATATCCATTGGAGACTAAATTTGTGATGAAATTATTCACACCTGTGTTGTCGCATATTTCTTTCATTTTTATACATGATCTATCAAACAAAATATTTGAAATCTATCAAATTATACTTAAGAAGACACAGAGTCATCAATATGACATGTCTTTCATGAAAATTGGAGCTATATTAGAAAATGTAAGAAGTAGCTTATTTATAAGAAAATCGAAATCATTTTGGATAAATTTTGATAGCTTGATTTTGGAAAAATTTCTTAAATAAATAAGTATCTGAAATTTAAATATATAACATACAATAATTTGAAAAGTATTTGGGTTAACCACCCTAAGTATATTTGAGAATAAACACATAATATTTTGCTTGCCCTATTTGATAATTTTGAAGGTTTTTAAGAGTTGTTAAATTTCATTTTATTTGATAATTTTGAAGGTTTTTAAAAGTTGTTAAATTTCATTTAAAAAAACAGATTTATTTTTGTTTCTAATGCCAGGTAAATTTAAAAGTGTTAACTACATAATTAGTTAAAGTTAATTTTCACCAACAAAACTGTTTTATTAAAAGTAGGCCTAAGGCTTGATTGGTTTGGTATAAGATGGGCATGTTTTGATTAATATATAAATACATTTTTTATGGGAGGGGGGGGGTAAATTTTTCATGGGGTTTAGAGCACTGCTAGTTGGTCAAGACCTGAACAGGCTTTTGCCTACATTTAAAAAAATATAAGCTAGATTCCAAATTAAATTTTCTTCTAAAATTTGTCCTTGTCTTAATTTTTTTAATCAAGTTGGTTTCTTAAAAAAATAAAATAGAAACAGATATTTTTTTTTATTAAAATGAAATGATAATTTAAATTTATTTAAGATTAGGAGCAATTTGTGATATTTATTTATTTAACTTCATAAATATGTCCTAAACATATGGTGAATTCCATGACAAATCAACATTAGTTTCAACCCAACCCCATCAGATTTTTCTAAGATTTATACTAGAGTTTGCATATATTATAACAAAAAAATAAGCTTCAACTTCAAACAATGGCTGAGATATGGGCTTCTAGGAAAATATGGAGCATTTTAGGCAAAATGCTTCACTTTAATTTTGGATATATTTGGATAATTGATCAAGTGGAAGTTGGGCTAAGCTCAGGTTTAGGAGATATAACATTTTAATCATTAGTCAATTATAATAAATAGATAAATCATTAACAGTAATATATTTAAGCTAAGATTTTTTATATATTTTATTTATTTAAAAAAGGATTAAATAAGGTGAAGGGAGAGGGGGGCTATTGTTAATTTATTTAATATATTTATTTCACCTAAAATTCACACAATTTGAATAAACATATATGTTGGGAAGGCCTAAGAAATGTAACTTCCCTTGATAATTAACCAGAATTAACGATTACATTATCTGACTTAAAAAATTAAGAAATATTTTTTGAAAAGTTTTTCATAAGATAATTTTAATATTAACGATGAATGTGAAATCATTAAGCAATTGAAAAATATTATTGAAACAACAGATTCTTGAAATGAAAAATTCAAATGACGGTTCCCAAATTCCTGGACACTAAAAATAAGAAAAATTTTTTATGACTGAATCCATGTCAAGGATAGAAAAAAATTGGTCAAGGAAAATGGTGTTTATTCCAATCTAAATATTATAATGGTTGGAAGTGTTTTTAAGATTATTTATGATGCCTGGTAAAAACTTTTTTTTAAATATTAATAGAGGTTAGAAGCAAATTGAAGAAAATAATCATTTTATGCAATCATAAGGAAATATTCTAATCATAAAGAAGCTTATATTGATATAAAAGTAAGCTTTAATAATGCAGATTCAAGGCAAATTTTTTTTAAACTTAAAATGATTGGTATGCTTAAAATCTAAATTTAAAAATTTATCAAAAAGTTTTTTTTTGAATACTCAAAGTTCATAATCTAAGCTATCATGAACTTGGGAATCAAAGCAGGATGCCATTTTTTCATAATAGCCCATGACAAACATAATCAAAAGTTTAGCAAAAAGTGCTACCTTCAGTGTCCATATGAGAATCAAATATTAAACACTTTAAATTTATTTAATTTTTACAAAGCAAATATCACTGCAATTAATTACGCATATGTAAAAGATGACAAATATGAAAAATATCTAAGACCAAACTCATTCCCAGAATATAAAAGTTTCATGCTTTTATGCCACTTAGGGAAAGTTAAATTATTTTTCATATTGTGAAAAAACCCTTCTTTCAAATATTTATTAAGAATATATGGTCTAATTATTAAAATGCTATATCTCCTAAACTTGAACTCTGTCTAACTTGAAAGTTTTCTTATTTATTCATTAATCCTATATCTATATACACTACAATTGGAGAGAAAAAAAAGCCGATTTGCATTTTCGGTTTACTATATCCCATCATTGACATTTAAACATTTTCAATACAATTTTGAAAGCTTACCATTTGGCTACATAAAGAAATTTAAATGACTCTTCTAGCTCAATAATATATAATTAAATGGAGTACATTTTGCCCCAAACCCCATTTTTTCGACATTTAGATGCCCATATTTCAGTCGCTGTTTGGAGTCAGGACTAAAATGTTTTTTTTCTTTGTTATAATATATTCAAACTTTTGTAAAAATTTTAGAAAAATCTGAGGGAGTCGAATAGAAAATCGTGTTTTTATGTTGATTTGTCATGAAATTATATATATTTTTAATAAAAAACTTTGGGCCTTGTAATTTTTTTTGATTAGGTTTAAAAATTTATAAAAATTCCAGGATCGGCTTGGCTTAAAATATACTCATTTGAGAATTGATTAAGCCAAAAAAAATTGCAGGGATCTAGTGGGATTTTATTATGAGAATCACAATATCTAACAGTGTTTTTGTTGAATTAGTTTTATAATAAATATAAATGGTTATATATTGTATCTAATTATTTCCAGTGAACTTAATCTCAATTTATTACAAAGCCACTTGTTAGATTTCTGTTTGGTCTAAGGTTGTGACAATATTAAATATAGGATTAGGAATTATACTTATCATTTTTTTTTAAAAATTGGATTAGATTAGTATTTTTTTTATAAACTGAGATTTTATTGTTTTTTTTATTATTTTATGATTGTATAGTAAGTCTTTTATGTTTATTTTACATAATTTCTTAATAATGACTAAAAGTAAAAGCCTAATATTTTATTTGCAATATTAAAAAATTGAATCATATTTTAGGTTGTGAACAAAATTTGTTTCATAAGTTTTAGAACTTTAAGTATATAACTATCGTCAATATGCAAATTTTACAAAATTTAAAAAAGATGTTTTGACCACATTTTACATTTAAGAGGCTTATTACCTTAGTATATCTAAAAATGCAATAACATTTTTTTACAATAAGAATTAGAAATTTATATTTTTAATATTGCAGCTTGATTATTATTGAGTTCTATCTAAGCCACTTTTTGACAAGAGTTAAGGCCAAATCATTATTAAGTTCCTGCACTCCACCATTTAAAAACTCCAAATAATTAATTTAAAATATGTTACAAAGTTTCATATCCATTTTGATCTTATGTTTTTATTATCATAGGATTCTATCTGTTTACGTTTAATGAATCATCACTACTATTTTTATCACTTGATAATCAAAAATATTGAATTTTTATAAAATCTTGTAAAAGTAATTTAAACAACTACAGAAAAGTGTTGGTGTTTGAGAATTTTGTCAGTTATAAACTAAAGTAGAACAGTATTTTTATTGAGTACAAGAAATAGATTACCAATTTTTTGTTTACTTAAATTAATCTATTTTTATAAAATAATATCAATTTCAATGCTCATATGTAGGGCTGAGAAAGCAAAGAATCAGAGGTGCACCGATACCACTTTTTTTTGCCGGTACTAATACGGTATCGACTGATACCTCCAATGCCCGATACTAACCTCATTCTTATTTCCACAAAACTATTTGTTTGTTTTTGATTTAATTCATAATACCTTTGAATTCTAATGAAGCTTGTAGACATAATTTTTTCTCTTGTATTGGAAAAGAATTAACGCTCATTGTTAATATCGGTTTTATGATGATTATTGTTTAAAATATAAATATTACTCATTCAATACAGGTCAAATCAAATCAACCACTTCACACCTGACCACTTTAAATTTCGATAAAATTTGTAGAAACGTTTTATATATCCTATAGTTATATTAAAAACGAAATTTTATCTCATTAGCAATTTTATTATTTGAGATCAGGGTTGTGAACCCGAATTAGGGCTCAGGAATTTAAAACTCAATTTAACGAAAATAAAGAGAGGAACTTAATCGATACCGATTTTCTGAAAAATGTCGGAACCCGCCTCGGGTCTATATTACCCCGAGTTCAATGGGTTGCCCATAAATGGGTCTCTCTTTGGTCTGTGATCTCAAAATGTTCAATCAAATAATTTTAAGTTTCTGAACCCTAATTTGGGTTCACAACTCTGCCTGAGACAATGGGGACTGAAGGTAAAAAAAATTAGTTTTTAATTAAAAACTAAATTAGTTAGTGTTTTGGTTTCCATTTTCTTACATACATTTTATTTGATAAAATGATTTATAACATATATATTAATTTTGAAACATCATATTGACTATTAAGTAAAAAGGAAATTGTAATGGCTTTATAATTCGTAAATTTTCATGTTTTAATTTATTTTAAAGAATAGAAGAGAAAAAGAGTATCATAGTAAATTATTTGATATCGCCATCAGCTGCGATACTCCTAAATTATAAAATATCCCTTGTTTCTCCGATGAATTCTACGAAAATTTTATTATAACTGATAATTATGATGAAAACATCAAAATAAATTTTTACTAATATTCCAATTAGAGAAATATAGATTTAGATTGATAAACATCACATACATCAATTTTTTTTACCTTAGTATAATATTACCTTGCAAATAAAAAGTGAATGCTTCAGGAGATCCTGTCAGGAATTGCTGAAAAAAATATATTAATGAGTTATGGGCTAATTTGATATTATATCAAATAAAAAACCAGTTGTCAATCAAAAATTAGATATGTGCATTAGAGGTCTGAAATGTCCAGGATGTCTGGAAAAAATTTATTTGGGTCAGACTGGGCAATATTAGGCTAGATTATTGATGAATTCTGATATTTGATA